TGTCATTTGAACGGATACTTGCAGGTGGAAACAGTTACAGGATTATGAGGAGAGCAGTGTGAAAGCGAGGTTCACAATAACAAGTTGGTTTGGAGCACATAGGAGTGGAGAGCATGTTCATGAAGCACCAAGCCATGGCTTGGCATTATATTTCTCGCTGTATATAATTGTTTTGCTTTGTTTTTCCTGTTTCACAGCATCACTGCAGACAGTGTGGAAATATCTTCTGTGCCGAGTGCTCAGCTAAGAATGCCTTAACTCCTTCTTCTAAGAAACCCGTTCGTGTCTGTGATACTTGTTTCAACGACTTGCAAGGATAATTACTCACAGCTCTTAAATGTTATGCTAGAATAAAGTTTCTGTTATGCACTTCGTACAACACTCAGACTACTCTTTGGTTTGGGTGATGATTGTAACAATGGGCAAAATTATAGTATTGTTGAAAATATACATATAAAAAAGTCAAACAATTGTACTTCTTGTGAGGCTGAAATTATCTATGGCTTGTTTGGTTTTGATCCTACAAGAGCTTCTGTGTCTAGTTTATAAGTCCCCAGTAACTTGTAAATAAAGTTTAAACAGAGGAGTAACAATGTATTTTTTTAATCCTAATTTCCTTGTTTAAAAGTAACACATTTTAAAGTAAACACATTTGCAGGGATTTTGTGTATCAAATGCTGCTGCTCTAACAGGATGGTTACAGTTTAATAGCTTCATTGAAGTGTGAAAGATACGTAGCAGGCCCAAACAAGCAGCTTTTTTGCTTATTTCTTTTATTTTCTCACTCTCTGGGGATTCCACTTACAGTGAATGCCTAGATAGTGGGAAACTGCCTTGAGGTTTTAAACTTTTCAGGATGTTTCACTACAGTGTCACTATATACTTCACTGAAAATGAAAAGCAAGTGTCGAGTGTATAATGTATGCTTGACATCTCTAAGAATACCGTTCCTCATATCAAAGGTACTTAAGTGGACTACATCATCCTTAATATGCAAGGTCTTACTCTGAAACTTTTTGAGGTTGCATACCTTTTCAGAGGTCTTCTGCTTAGTTAATTTTATTATTATTATTATAAAATCTTTGTTGTTGTTCAATTCCCTTCACAGGAAACACTGCATGGAAGTTCCCAGGAAAAAATACTGTGAAGTGTGGGAATTAAAAAATACAACATTACGAAAGAAAGTAGTCACCTTGGAATTCTATCTTTCTCGAGTTTCTTAGTTCTTGCTAGAGATTTGCCATACCTCCCTGCCAAATGGAAGTGAAATTCCAGGTTCTGCTAATGGCTTTAAAGTAACTGAGATTCCACCACCAAGAGCCTTTCTCTTGCTTTAATGAGGTACATCTCAGTCGTAGGTTTTATAGTACAACGGTGTCATGTTTCATCCAAATGAGAAGGTACTGAAATTGCTCTTTTAAAATCCAATCTTTTAAAGATTGGATTTAGGCAGGAAATGTCATCTTTCAGCCCCATCTTTTCTTCTCTTTTGATTTGAGAGGCGAGGATAATATACATACTTCTATGCACATTGTAACCACACAAAATAATGTACTTTGTAAAATTTAGAGTGACTAAAATACAGCATGACATTTAAAATTAACACCTTTTGGATATGTGGTCTATTTAAAATGCTATGAAGGAAGTGATGCCAGCAAGGAAGAATGTTGTAGACTGAGAAATGGAAGTACAGAACTAGAAAGAAATGGAGAAGCAAACAGCTTAACACAAATATATTTGTAGAGGGGTCATGGCTAGCATGACCTTTGCACTCAGAAGGTCCCACGTTCAATCCCTCATGCCTCAAGATAAAAAATGTTTCATACATTACAGGTCCAGCAAATACCATGTTTTGCTCGGAACTTTTGAGAGGCTGCTGACAACGGGAGCAGACGACATTTGATCCAATGGCCTGATTTAGTATAAAGCTGCTTTATCTGTTCAAAAATGTCCAGATGAACAAGTACAAATAGGATGTATGAAACCTTAAATTTTTTTGAGTTGGATATGCATGCTCCATATGCCAAATTTACATCTAATCATTCAGCGGCTACATGTGTAGACATTTTCCCCATTTACTTGGTGTGGTTTTTTTAGGACTAAAGTTTTTTTAGGTAAAGTAATATCCGGAGCATCTACTAAGGTAATTGGGAATTATTAGGGATTTTACTTGATTAAATAAATCTTAGTTGATTAATCACACCAGTTTTATTCAATTAAACATGCTTATGAATAAATTAAAGTTTTGAAGGAAGAGTATTTTGGTTTTAGATGATGCTCGTATGTGTTGCAGCAGGCACCATCTTAGAAAAGCCGTCCTTTGTTCTGTGCAACAGAATGGGGAGAGGCCTTTGCCAGTCACAGTTTTTGTAAGTACTTGCATTCAAAAGAATATCTGAAAACCATCTGCTCCCTCATTCAAACAGATGAAAATATATTGAAATGGTTTGATTTGTTAATTGACAACACATCGCAGCCCTAGAAGTTGCAACCGTATACATGGAGGCAAGGGAAAATCCATTTTGTTCAGAGAAAGAGCATAAGGTTGGATCCGTAGTTCAGAAATTTGAGCTACTTCAGTGGAAACGCCCCCTAAGAACCTCAGGAAGGGGAAGATAATAGCATTGTCACTTGCACTATGCACTTTCTTTCTCATGTAACCAACATAATATGCAAGAAATGAAACAGCTGTTTTGCAAGAATTGTTGTAGTAATTGGTCCACAAGGCTATGTATTCTCAGACGAGTGTTCATTGAAATTCCTAGTAACTTCATTTTTGTTAGGAATATTGCATCCTTAATTCTTAAGTGCTCTAGGACACGTGTATATATAGCAAAGGAATTTACATGGTTTTAACAAGCATTGTTTGACTTAAGAATCGAAAAATGTGGACATAGCAATTTTGCACATTTGTATTATTAGTTGACTGGTTTCCATAGTTCATGTTCATGCTTTTGTTTTCTTAGTATTGAGTTTCTGCGGAATTTACATGGATGGTCTGTTTTCCAGGCCATAGCAATAAGTACATACAAAAATCCCTATACCTAAGAGCAGACGTGTTTGTGTTCACATTCTGTTTTGAACTGCTAGAAATCTTAAAACCAGTATACTACTTAAGAGTAGTATGCATTTATAAAATAGTTACAATTTTACAATGCTGCAGTTGGTCAGCATTGACTGTTCTGTCTTGGTTAATGGAGTGATGCAATATTCTATGCAGTCATTGTACAGCAGGCAAATGGAAAGGTTTTCACCCAATTCAGTAGAACATATCTGATGGTAGGAAACTAATCTGTTTTCTCTTGTGTGCCAATTGGTGGCGCTGTGGGTTAAAGCCTCAGCGCCTAGGACTTGCCGATCGAAAGGTCGGCGGTTCGAATCCCCGTGGCGGGGTGCGCTCCCGTTGTTCGGTCTCAGCGCCTGCCAACCTAGCAGTTCGAAAGCACCCTTAAGTGCAAGTAGATAAATAGGGACCGCTTACTAGCGGGAAGGTAAACGGCGTTCCGTGTGCTGCGCTGGCTCGCCAGATGCAGCTTGTCACGCTGGCCACGTGACCCGGAAGTGTCTGCGGACAGCGCTGGCCCCCGGCCTATAGAGTGAGATGGGCGCACAACCCTAGAGTCTGTCAAGACTGGCCCGTATGGGCAGGGGTACCTTTACCTTTACCTTTAAGTTCAGTGAAGACTTCTTTCTTAGTCATCGTTCCCTCCTTACACCCCAATATGGAAAAGTTTTACTACTGGTTTGAGTTTTAAAGTATCTAAATACATTGTTCATTGTTGATATATAAACAGACTGGTGTGGCAGATCCAGATTTCCTAGTGTTGGTGCTCATACAATGTACATTCTACCATGTGGTTAAATCCCAACACTCGTCACCAAAGGGATGAGAAAGAATGTCACGTTGGGTTAGCAAACACTGAAACCTTTTATAATAGAAATCTGTCCAAAATGCTGCTTGTATAGGATTTGTCACTTTTGTAATAAAAATATTATTAAAAAACCCTTTAAAATAAACACACAACCCCCCTTTCATTCTGACACTTGATGCCACTATGTAAGATTTCATTTAAACTACCTCTTGATATGAAATTCAACTTTAGTGCATTTTGATAGGATTCCTTCACTATAATGTTAGGTATGATTTGTGGTAACTGCCAAATTTTCCAAGTGTTTTGTCTCACCAAAAATGTAATATTTGGGTATGTATGCTAATGTAGTTTCCAATTATTCTAGGCTCACTTGTGCTCTTTTGACCTATGTAGTTTAGTTCTACAAACTTGTAGCTGTTGGACAGGAATGAAACAAGCAATTCAAGCTGTCCTGGTCATAAGTCTGTTGGACTTTGTCACCTGTATGTAATATTGGCAAACTGGATACTGGTTTAAACATGAACATGCCATTAAATTAGCCTCTTGTTTGCAGCAGTCTAGACAAGAAGTTGACAAATGCTATTAAGCTTATAATGGATGTGTGCCACAAAGTGTACTGTCCTGTTGGCCTCTTTTTAATGATTGGTTTATTATGGTCGCAGATGTGAATATTGTGCATAATATTTACTGATTTTTATGTATAATTGTATAAATTAGAATTGGAAAAATTCTGTGCTTACCTTATATTTACAGATGTTTTAAGGTAGCCTTACCTACACAACACTGCACTTCTTTTTCAACTGGACCCTTAAACTCACATTATCTGTAGATAGTCTTGCATGACCATTTTTATCAGTTGGATTCTCTCAAGTCCTCCTCTCAGTGGTGTGTTTATGACTTGTGGTCATGTAGTTGTGCCTTACATTGTGAAAGAGTTTAGTTCAGTACGCACTGTAATCCCTAAACTCTGCATTTGGAAAGTAATGAAAGCTGAGGAGTGACACCCTACATCAGCTAATTCTGTATGAAATAACATGAGTGGATACTTGTGGAAATGTTACTTTTGTATTCTAATCTGTTATTGGCCTGAAATAAAATTAGACATTTCTAATAGACCATTTGCAGTGACTTAATTTGCTGTGCTTTTGGTGTCGCTGTAGCCACTTTTATTCATTTGCAAATTCAGATAGTGGTTAGGCAGAGTCGAGTAGTATCCTTTTGGTGTTACATCATGAACATAATTGTGGTAAAGGTGATAAAAATGGCTCTTCTGATTGGTGCCATTCTGCTTCATTCTACAGTTCTTTGAACTAATAATTACTGAAGACATGTGGTTCTTACCCAGAATTTTACAAAAAAGTGTATACCTCAAAAGTATGTGCAACCCCGTTTGGTGTTGTATAGTCAGTATGAACTGATTTTACCCCGCGGCTTTAATTGGGGGTTGGGGTAATTTTTTTCTGGAACGCTACAGCCAGAAATTACAATTTCTCAGTTCTTAGTTTAACCCCATTCCAAGTTGTGCAGGTATCTCTCTTTGTAGCATAATGTTGATGAAATTTCTTCCAAACGCTGATGAGGTGAGGAAGGTAATCTCAAGGTGACCACACTGCTTAAAAATGGGTTGTGTGAATCTATAATCTAATGTGAGAGGTGTTTTTGTGAAGATCAGTGTTAGATTGTTACTTTGTTTGACATTTTGGTGGTTTCTGAGGTAGGAAAAAATTGTGCAGATTTTCTTTCTTTCATAACCCGGTAGTATTTGATCAAAAAACAAAATACTCTGATTTAAGCAGGTCTCATGATTACTGGTACCCCAGTTTGACTGCAGAAGAACTTGTAAAGGCAGTTTTAAAGATGTTGGTTTAATGGCACTAGTTTCCTTTCTCTTCCCCATATCATATCGCATATATTTTCTAGTTTTTATCATGGTATGCCAAATCAAAACAAGCCACCCTGTGAGGAACCAAAGGCCATAAGCATAGCACTGCAGTTTGAATAATGACCATTCAAGTTGCTCCTTTCCTTCTCTGAATTCTGTTCTAGCAAGATTGTTTCCAGAATTTCACCTTTCCAGGCTCCAAAAAATGTTCACAGACATTTTGCATGCCTTGTTTTTTTTAAAAAAGTAAATCTGTTACATTGTCTAGTGGTTCCCAACGAACCACAACTAAATTTGAGATGATTCAGCAGGTAAACTAAAAAATGAAGTTTTGGGTTTATTTTCTCTCTTTGTGCAATTTGATATTGCTGTTTCCATCTGTGACATCCATGTTTTCTGTAAGGTGAAAAAGAAGTTTTAATTTAATAACAAAAGTAACTTAGGGATACATACTTTCCATATAGCTAACTAGTCAATAGCATCTATTCATATTTTTGAAAGGGGTATCTCACTCTAGTGGGGTAGGGACAGTACCCAGGACAGACAAATAAACTAGCTCAAATCATTTGGGGAAAGGTGCTGGCATTATCTTAGGTGAATTGCTTGTGTTTATTTTTTTAATGTTTGTAAAATAAAATACTTACTTTGAGAGACTCAGTCTGTGCTTGTAGTAAAAAGGCTGCTATGCACTGCTGAAACCGATTTCTATGCTGTATTAGAAAAGCATTTCGTAGTCCAAAAACTAAGAAAACAATTGACACATGGTAAGACATCTTCCACAGCTTTCACTCCAGACCTCTATAAGGGGCAGATATCTTGTCACCTTTGAAACAGGCCACATGAACTACTTCAATGGAACTTGTATGCATCCATTGATTGACTTTTAGACTGCATGAAATATCAACGATACGTAAGCTTGGTTTTGGATATACAAGTAACCAGGGATAAGGGATTGAGCGTGAGCTGCAATCTTCTGGCTTTAGGGAAAATAAAACTACATGCTATGTGGTGTAACTATTTTCTAAACAACAACAATTACATAATGAGCTGCCACCTGCAAAGCTGGCACTTCTGTCCTTTTTGGGGGGGACAATTTGACATAGTTACATATCATAAAGACTCAGAAGTAAGGACATGATTTAGATGGATATTAAACCAGTGATCACAAGGGGTCTCATAAAACCACATTGATGGGAAATGCAAAAGCTAGGTCTTCACTTGGATTCTAATTTTATACAGAAACAGGAGCAAGTCTGAATCCATGGAGAGAAAAAGGAGTGAAGATAGTTCAGCTGATCAATTTAGAATAGTGGGCAAAATGAGAAGTGTTCCCAAAAAATTAAATTTCTTTTGAACATTGGTTGGTTTAGCACAGACAGTGGTGTTACATCTTTAATCCTGAAGTGAGGCAGGTCTGTCTGATCAAAACTGATTTCCTTCAGCACACTTTCTCTGATTTACCATGTAAATTCTCTTCACTACCATTGTAAGCTGTTGGACCTATATACATCCCAGAGACTGAAGAAAAATTGTGGTGGGATGACTGAAATGAATATATTTTGCTTGAGGGGTAGCAATTGGCTTATTTGTATTGTGTTCCAAATATTTTAAAAGAGAGCTACGGTATTTAAGATGGGCACAGAAAATAGCTGTCCCTACATATATGCCATGCATCTACTCAATATTTGAAGAATGTAACCAAGCCATATGTAAAACGTATTTAACATACCTGTTATGTGGAAGGATTCAATATTTCTTACTACCATTCTGTCTAATGGGATAGGCTGGTCAAGCACAGTGCAATAGCCACCACCTTCCAGCAAAGATTGCAATTCGGGAGTGAAAAAGGGGCCAACAGGTGTTAAACTCAGGTCAGAAACTACAGATTTCTGAAACAGAAAGGAAAACCAATACGTTACCTAAGCATTCTATATTCTGGATTGTAGCTGTGGCATTTCTGACATGTAGTACTTGACTTAAATTTGTGAATGGCAGCTCTTGGAACTTAAGTCAAAATTGCCACAAGATTAAAATGCTTATTTTTCTGTTCCATGGCACTAGCTTGTATCATAAACACATTTCAAGCTCTAATAATTTTTGTTAAATGTAACAAGTAGGCATTCAGTTGGACTGCTATGCTGCAGTTCTTTAAAATACAAGGAAACTATGGTGCCTCAATGTATCTGAAAGGACATGAAACCTTAGTCACATTAACACCGTACATTTAAAGCACGCCTACTTTCGGATGTCCTGCCAACCTAGCAGTTCGAAAGCACCTCAAAGTGCAAGTAGATAAACCTCCAGCGGGAAGGTAAACGGTGTTTCTGTGCGCTGCTCTGGTTCGCCAGAAGTGGCTTAGTCATGCTGGCCACATGACCCGGAAGCTGTACACCAGCTCCCTCGGCCAATAAAGCAAGATGAGCGCCACAACCCCAGAGTTATCCCCGACTGGACCTAATGGTCAGGGGTCCCTTTACCTTTACTTTCAGATGTCTGCTTTTTACATCTAAGTCAACAAGGTAATAGGAGGTGGTGGGTTAAAAGGAGCCAGGCTTGGGCCACCGGGGACTGCAGCTTCTTTAAAAAATAAGTGCATATTGCAAAGTGACTACTTGCATGAATTCAAAATATGGACCTGTACCCCTAAGGGGTTACCAAAATGTGCCCACTGTGAGGCACTGCCCCTAAGTATCATATAATTGCCAGGGTCTGTTCTTCATTTCTTTGATATGTCAGCAATTCACAACTCTTCCCTCAACATTTTTACTTTAATGATTTTAAAATATTACGTAAATGTTTACTGCACCAACAGATAAAAATGTGCATGAACACAACAGCTGTAGCTGATCTTTCTTTTCCTTTCTTCTTACCTTTTTGTGCCGGTTGGGCTTTGTAATCAACAGCAAATCATCAAACAGAAATAGGTAGACATCAACAAGTCTCATATGTTCTGAGGAATAAACGCAAAAGTAAACACTGGTTCTTATTTTTTTTATTTTGTAACAAAACTTCACATTTTCTGCCTTAAATTTATCACTACATTTTGCTTTTGGATTTATCTTGCCTGAAAGAATTTGGAAAATTACTTGCTAGGAGATTCAAGCATAGTTTTTCTAGTTCCAGAATTCTAGGAAGTTTGTTTTAATGAATAGAACTGAACTTTCAAGTTTTGTGGCTCAAGCTCCAGGGATTAATTTTAAAGGAAGTAGGAAGCCAACAGCTGCCCCATATCACCACCTGCTTAGTATTAAAAAGTCTGGATGTGATAAATATTCAGCTTTGTAGTTTGGGTTGTTTAACATTTGCAATACATGAGCAGCCAAAGTAGTCTGGAAGAATGGCGGATCACTATTGCTTGCATAACTCACATAATATTTTAATAGTTTTTAGCAGAGCTAGGGAAGTGACTGAATCTCCCACGAGTAAAAGATTATCAAACAGATTATAGAGCAAAAATAACCAGGGATATATATTGTCAAATTATTTGTAACATTCCAGCCTATCAGCTGTTACATTTTTATCAGTCTTAAGTATATCACCTCCTGCCAGTTCATTTCAAAAGCAGACAGCAGATTAAAAAAATAATCTGTTGTATGCTTCACTCTCGGCAATCTAGTTCAAATTTGACTGCTAATTATGAACAGAAAACTCTGAAGTTTAACATATTTCTCTTTTGGAAAAGCATATTTATTTAAAAGACTTACTTTTACACATCTTGTTTTTCCCCCTCTAGAAGAGTGGTACTGAGACATCACTCACACTGATTTTATTCTTTCTGAATATATTTTTATTCTTTGACCTTGTTGGACTGCAGCCTTATTTTGGTGTCATGAGCACTCACATTCAACAACATGGAAGCAAGGAGTGGTGTTGAACTGAATAACCCCACTAACAGCACACATCCCTTCTGTGATGTCTGTACATAGAGCACAAACCTCTGTAGCAAGGGGCCTTTGCTCATATAGTTGTTAATGCAAAGCCTTCATCAGAATCTGGAACACTGAATGATTGAGGTTCCATATTCTGGGCATGCCTTTGCATGTATAGCTCTATGAAGGGAAGCCCTCTCTCTACAGATGTTCATATTGTATGAGCAAATGTCAGGTGGAGACATGACAGCAGGGGAAGGTTAGGTGATGCACCCCACTCTATGCTCCCATGTTGAACATGGAGGTTCATAACATCTTAATACAGCACTTGTCCAACTTTTATTCATATCCTCTCTAGGTTTGCAGAATAGTTTGAGTTAGGTATACATTTCTGTTCATTGCGTAACATAACTATGATACAGAAAGCACTCTTTACCTGCTAGGGTTAATCTCCCCTCATGAACAAGAAATCTCTTTGTTGGTGACAAGATGTTTTCATTCGGGTTTTCTCTTAATAAGTTCTTGAGACACTGGTGATGGAGAAAGAGAGATAATCATGGAACTTTTGAATAAAAAGTGGTTAACAGTGCAATTAAAATTCTGAGGAACAGAAATAATATAATGGACTATTTAATTGGATGACTGGCTACATGTGTTAGACAAATACCACCTTGGCAGCCAATCCTATACAGCAGCAGTAACTAACCTTTCTTAGTCTGGGGCACCTTGACTCATGTCCAACCCTTTGAGGGCTGCATGTCAAAATGGGCATGGCCAATGTCAAATTAATTCCTTGCCTTCTGACTGAATCTATTTATAAATGCTGTGTCATTACAAAGAACTACCTCTTTTCTTTCCCCCTTCCATTTTTGCTTCCTCCCCATTGATTTCCTCAGGAATCATTTCCAAATAAATCTATTTACATTCCCACCTTCAGCCCCCTTATTATTTTATTGTCCTCCAAATTACTCACTCCATTTTCTCATCATGAAGAGCTCTCCCTCTTCTCCCTCCCTCCATATTTGCTTATAACTTTTTCAGTGCTCACTTGTATGGGAGCTGGTCTACAATCTGCGTGGTCTATGTGCAGGCACCTCTCCAGAGCGTATTTAGAACATTCTAGAGCTAGTTACATATTCTGAAGTTAAGCCATGAATATTTGTCCATGTTATTTTAACAGTTTTATGCAGATTTAAGAAGACCCTGCTATGGACATATTTTTAAGATGGATGAATAAAAATTGCTTACCTCAGGAACAAAAAATCTTTTTTCTTGATCCCAAAGTGAAGGCCAAACTATAATTTCCTGTAGCTGTTTAAATTTCTGGAAGTTATCCAGCCATTTCACTTTCCCTTCCAAATCTCCTGAAAAGATACACCACGGAGCAGCAAGGTTGGCTTAATGAAAATGAAATCTCTGTCCTTCATTAATATGGGCCTTAGCATTCTCTATATGGAGAGCTGAGTGCCTTCTGTATTGATATAGTCTAGTCAATGTTGCCATCCCTGTGGATGTTAAGAGTATGAGCATCAATGTTCATGTTTCATACCAAATATGAGTTATCAGGCTTATAGTGTTCTTTGGAATGTGATGGTTTACATAATATTACTTTTGTTTGTAGCTAGTGAAGGTATTTTCATGTTTCAGTTTCTAGGGGAATAGTTTTTGCCATACAGTCTTCATGCATGCCTAAATGCTGAGCAAGAAAGGTTGGCCCAAGGTATTTTTGTTGGATGAGGCTGAGGAGCAAATGGTACTCAGGCCTTCCCCACCCAAACCCAAGTCAAGTGCAAAGCGCACAACATCAGCCAAGTTGTTTTGGCACCTGAGGCATGAAATCCCACAAGCAATTCTCCCCATCCCTGGTATAAAAATACAAGCACATACAATGCCACATAAAACCTGCTGCCTGAGGCAGCCATACCACTCTGCCTATTGGTAGGACTGGCTCTGTGAAAACAACTCGGAACAACTTCTGAACCAACAATGCAGTTTCAGAACTTCTCCAACTCACTTATAGATTTTTCCACCTTTTCTTTAATTGTACCAATGACAGATTTCTCGGCTGCCTCTGTATTTTTCCATATATTCTTCAGGAGAAGGGGATAGCGGGTCAGTTTGTGCAAAGGGGCAACCAGCAGTTCTGCGAGATGGAGACGTTTGCACCGCTCATTCTGTTCACACCACTATCGAATACAGATAAATTTTGTATAAGGATTAACAAGTGTATTCTTGACAGTAAGCAGAATAATGCTTCATACTGCCAACCAGCAGTGTGACACACATTTCTTAAGTAAAATAAATTTCATGAGAACCCTACATTTTCATTGCTTTCAGAATGGCAACCCAGTTCCCAATAGCAGAGGAATAAATGCACCCCCTTCTCTCATACCTCACACTTAATGTGGTAATAATTGGGATGAATCATCCACCTAAATAAAAAAAAGGAAGGGAAATATCATGCAGATAAGTCTTTTGTGTGTACAGGCCTCAAGGTGGTGGTGGAAAAGGTTGCAGAGCACACCCACTTTACCACAGGAACTAGATTTCCACATATTTCTAGGCCCAATTCAAAGAGCTTGCACTAATGCTTAAAACCCTAAACAACATAGGTTCCAAATACCAGAAAAATCCATTCCTTCCCTACAGACACTCTCAGGTGTCCCCAGTTCAGGCTGACATAAGAAAATCATCCCCAATAAGTCCCCCCAATAGCATATTTTACTTTAGAATGACACATTTCTTGCTGTATAAGCCACATGAAGTGGAGGGGGGATGATAGTAGAGATGGTGATTTCTGATGAACAAGGATGGGTATTGATGTTTATTATTAGTTCATTAAATATATACTTTAGTTCACCCTTAATCATATCAGTGAACTATGATAGCAATTGACTTTGAAAAAACTGCTGCTGTAATATCACAACTGTAAATGTTGAACAAGGATAACAGCAAAACAATTGCTTTACTTTCAAATAGATCCCAAAATCTTCTCTTTTCTTCAGTTTTTCCAAGTAAAAGATAGCAGATGTATAATTCAGGCAGTACATCTGGTGACTCTGACACAGGTTCCCTTGGAAATACTGCAAGACAAAAATGTAAGTCATTGAGGGCAATATCAAAAACGAAGTTATACTCAAAATAGACTCAAGCCCATTGCAAGCCCCTGGGATCCCTTACAACTCTACAATTCTATGCTTCTATTATTTTATTGAGTCCACTTGCAGTATGACTAATGTTGCATATTCCTCTTGGCATTGTGAGGACCAAATATTCATTTATTAGATTTATACCACGCCTTTCCTCCAGAAGGAGCCTATACATTTATTGCACATAATTTTTTTTTGTACTTGTCCACAACCCTCTGTGATCAGAGATATCTGAGATGGCAAATAAATCCATCCACAGTTAAGCTTTTTTCCCCAGTGTGTGCTTAAGATAGTAGCTCAATCCACACTTACCTTCATAGTAAGTTCCACTGACGTCAGTGGGATTCACTTTTGCCTAAATATACATAGCACTATGCTACAGAAAATCCCCACTGAAATAAATGAATTTTAAAATACCTTTCTCTGGACTATATATTTTTTTTTACAAAAAAAACATGGACTTTTGGAGAATTTTAACTCCATATTCTTGCTGGCTGATTCAGGTAATTCTCGGGTCTTTCCTTAGTGGTGCTGAATCTTAAAACTCATCAACCCTTCCTCATAATCAAGAATAAGATGAATTCCAGAGGCGTAGTCATGCAGCCAACAAATTCATGCTGGCATCTTAAATGTTAAAGCTATAATGTTATATCCATTTATCTGGCTGTAAAGCTGCACTCCTGTGCTCACTTACCTGAGAATAAGCCTCACTGAAGTCAATGGGACTTACTCTGAGTAGACACGAGCAAGATTGCACCATGAGCACAACTAAACTTGCATAGAGCTGCACTGTAATAAATGTACTGTGATTTATGCTCTCATGGACCAGAGCCATTGGAGGTATGAAGTAGTTATCTAAGTGGGTGTTTATATACCCTAGGTACAGAGAGAAGAGGAAAATACGTACTTTAAAAACAAAGTCAGGCCAAGAAATAATGGTTCCCTTCCTTCTTGCCCTTGTTTCCCTCTGTCAGTCAAACTCAATTGCAGTTGGAATTGTAGTTTCATGGGGGCTACAACCTTAAGCATGTGTACACACACACACACACACACACACACACACACAACTTGACTGTGGATGGATCATGGTCAGGGTGTAAACTCTAGGTCATTTCTGAACAAGTTAAAAAACAGCAGTTCCAATACAGATCCCTGTTTCATTTCTCGACAGTGAAAACTGTCCATTTACACCTAGTCTCTTCTATCTGCTCTTTAACCATTTACTGATGCATCAGCTAAGCTTAACACGTTGTTACTCTTACCTTTGTGAGCACAGGGATGAAATCTATGGAAGGCATAGGCTGGACAAGGTGATCCTTTATAACACTGAAGAAACTGGTCACAAAACTGAGGCTCACCTAAGTAAGAGAATCTTATTTAAGATGTCCGTTGGATGAAAGATTCGACTGCAAGGCACTAAATGAGCTCTGAGCTTTTATAATTCAGTGGAAGAAAAATGTAAAGCATAGTGAGCACATTCATCTTCACTACTCCAAACAAATGCCCAGGGATGACTTGTTGTGTATTTGAATGCAACATTTGCTACATAGACTATAAGTGAGCCATTGTTGCTTTAAGACAAATGCACTAGAAGATATAATTCCACAGGTCTTATATGTCTAATTTTCCCAAAGGGAGTATTTAAATAGTAGGACCCACACTGCTTTGAGCTTGTTAATATAGTTTTTATTTAACTATTGTATTAAAGCCGTAGAATGAAAAGCCACAGTGCTGATACATGTTGTTTAGTGTCAATCTACAAATTAAAGTGTTTTCTCACCTGATTTAACTCCTCTAGGTTGGCAAACAGTAGCCCAGAGTCCACATCCGAGAGAAACTCCTTGCATTGCAGGTACCTTAATGTATCCATAAATATCTTCAGAAAACACATCAATGCCTAGTTAGTTATTTCTTCTCCAAATCCCTGAACCCCAGGGTTGCTACAGATTTCCTTTTCCGAAAAACATTCCTTACCCAAGTTCATTATAGCTCTAGTAAACATAACAAATGGGCTTCATTTGTCATCTTGCTGCTATACACCTGCCTCTAGCACTTAACAAACATTCATTCCTCCTTGCCCTGAAACTTGAAATCTTTCCCCACAGACCCTCCATGCGTGCGCTAAACACATAAGCAGTCACATTCTAGGAAGCATTGCAAATTCTGCTGACAAGCTGAAAAGAGCAATTTCCTTGTCTCAGTAAAATGGCCACTCAATTAATTTGAATCAAGCTATCCTGATGGCTTAGATTCTAAAGCATTAAGGCTGCAATCCTTATACATTAACCAAGGAGTAAGTCTCACTGAACTAAGTGAGCCTTACATCTAGTAAACAGGTATAGCCAAGCTATTCAAGTGACATATAATATTCTTGAGGATGAGGCATCTTCATCATAACAGGACTTTCCATGGAATACTTTGCTGGTCTCTGAAAACATTCTCTTTGAAAGACCCAACTGCTGATATGGTGAAAACAACCTTGTTCTAATTATCATTCAAAACAAGTGATTTTGTTCACTTTTGTTTTTTGTTATGAATTTTGTTATGAATTTCGGGGTAGATGGTCAGAGGCTGTATGCCTGAGTCCCCTTCTAATTCCTGGATCCAGCACAGATTCAGTTCCTGGAATAGCCAGGTTAGCTCCCTGGTGAGGTAATGACCTTCTGAGTATGGGCCATTAAGGTAACAAAGGAAGTGGCTCTGTGCCAGACAGAAAATGGGTGGGGCCCCCCTCCCTCAACATACTGGTAGTTAGAAAGACAAATTCCAGAGTTGTGTGTGCAAGCCAAAAGTGAGAAACAGCAGAAAAACAGAGCCATGCCTGATTTCTGCTGGGATTCAAAGACTAGAAGCCAAATCAATGGGGTTGAATTTACAAGAAAAGGGATTTTAACTAATCATTAGAAAGAACTTCCTGAAGGCATCAGATATTCAGCAGTAGAATAGGCAGCCTCAGAGAATAGTGGGCTCTCTTTTGTTAGATTTTTTTTAAAAGCAGAAGTTGGATGGTCACCTATTGGGAATGTTGGAGCAGTGAATCTCCTGCATCAGTTGGAGGTTAGATGCCCTTCCAAGTCTGTGACCCAATTTTCTAACAAGTGATGGCTCTGTAGCTGAACGGCTCAATGCACTTTCTAATCTGTAGCCTGTTTTTAACGCTTGTCAGAATATGCTCCAGTGAGCTGCAAGACAGAGATCCGTGTATAAGTACTGCTATGAGCTAATTGCAAAAGGCTGCCTCCTGCAGGAACAAACGGTTGTGCGAAGGTACTTCCCATTTAGATTGATAGCAAGTGACATAGCGAAAACCCCACAATGGGAAAGAAATGGTTGCAAAATCCAAACCTACCGTTTTGAGAACCTGGAGGTGATCAAGAAGGTAGGTGCATTCAGTTGTGAAAAGCTCCCACAAGGCTTCTTCTTTCTTAGTATCTAACTGATCACCGCTGGCTTTTGGCTCAAGTTGATGCATAGTCATGATTTCCTGCCAAGTTTTACCCTATCAGTTGAGAGCACAAACACAAACATTTATGCACATTTCCATACAAACAGCCCTTCCGTTCAATCACTGAAGCTGTTGTTGGTGCTAAATAGCCTTGTTTGGGTTGCCATTGGTTTCTGCTTCTGCTTCACTGTTACACTGTAAAAGACTCTTAAAGTATACTTAGAAGTACTCAACAATTTACACCGAAATGAAGTATAATCCATGTCTCCTGAGAAGTTCATACATTCATGCATACGTGTATATTTACTTCCAGATGACCAGTTTATTGAGCATTTATGCCAATTTGTTTATGGAGTGTTTATACACGTTCCCATTCACCCACCCCACATTTTTCAGTTATGTCTCTTTCCTAACTGTAAGAAGGAAGAGTTTTTATTAAAGTGGATTTGTGGTGCTGTCACAAAGGTGACAGAGGGCTTATCTGTGTTTCCGCTTCTCCTGCTGCTTTCCCCTGGGGAAAACTGTTCTTTAATGCCAAGTCAGAGCAAATGTCAAGTTGGGTTTCCCCCAGATTGCCGTTTGTTCCAATTGAACACTAAAGAGTGGGTTTTCCCTTGGAAAGGAGCGGGTCAAGCGTAAAACTGTTAAGACCTGTGCTTTCTAGGCACAGCACATGTGGAAGTGTGAATGAACCCAGAGTGCCTTTATCTACTTCAGTTGCACAAACCTAAAGTTTTGGTATGAACTTGAAATCCTCCTTCAAAATAATGACAGTCTGGAATCACTCTGTGTGTGTGTGTGTGTGTGTGTGTGTGCGCGCGCACACACACACACGCATCTGTCTATGGTCATATATAAATAAGTGGGTATAGGACTGCAGAGTTAGGGAAAACCAAACAGAAGAACAGAAGAATAAAAATGAGGACCAACACACAAATTGTATCATTATGGTATATGAAGCATTTTCGTACCTTAACACTTTGAAATTCATAATCACTACAATCTGGTATGTTGAGGGTTACTGTGGACAGACAGTTTTCCAGATCTGATATTTGTTTGTGTTTATCTTTACTCTGTTCAAAGACAAAAAAACAACAACAAAAAAACACAGCAGTAAATCTGTGAAATCCATAGCCATGGGGAAGATGTTGCACATAGAGGATGTTGCAGATTCTTCCTCAAATTGTGATTTATGCAAACAGACAGCTTTCCCCAAACTGAATTTTGAAAATGCACCAAATTTTGAATTTATTGTAATGTGATTACTAACTGCTACAGAATATAGATCCATAAATGATTAGTCTATTTTAAAATAATGGCTCAGTCAGTATTGACTATATGCACGCCACTGTTGTGAAAGATGATCATACCAATATTTGTTAGGTAGATATATTCCCCCAATATATCTATTGTTAGGTAGATAAAAGATAAAGGTACCCCTGACTGTTAGGTCCAGTTGCAGACGACTCTGGGATTGCGCGCTCATCTCGCTCTATAGGCCGAGGGAGCTGGCGTTTGTCTGCAGACAGCTTCTGGGTCATGTGGCCAGCATGACTAAGCCGCTTCTGGCGAACCAGAGCAGCGCATGGAAACACCATTTACCTTCCCGCTGGAGTGGTACCTATTTATCTACTTGCACTTTGACGTGCTTTCGAACTGCTAGGTTGGCAGGAACAGGGACTGAGCAACAGGAGCTCACCCCGTTGCGGGGATTCGAACCGCCGACCTTCTGATCGGCAAGACCTAGGCTCTGTGGTTTAGACCACAGTGCCACCCGTGTCCCTCATTGTTAGGTAGATATATTTCCTTAATTTATTGTATTCAGCAGAATTACAGATCTGGAACCTTAATTACATTGGGCATGTCCTCTTCATCCTCCATAAACATAGTGGTGCACCAATCTCTTTCAATTAAAAGTGCCAGAGTGGAAAAGTTAGAAAGAAGGCTTCTGTGTCCATATAGCCTAAATTTGCTTAAAAACAGGTGGCTGCTGAGGTGCTGGCTCAGCTGTAATGTTGCACAGAACTCAAGGCCTCTGCATCTGATTCCAGGAGCTGCTGCATTCCCAAAGGTTGAAAAGGTAAGCAGTTACCTTTCTCTCTCACTCTCTTTCACAATCACTTAGAGATGTTTCCCTGTTCCTTTTTTTTATAAATATCTGCATGTCCAAGCAACACCTGAAGTGTGTTTGGGTGCATGTCTGCAACTTTTTAAAATCTGCTCTCTTTACATTTTATTCAAAACAACATTCCCAAACCTGTCCTGCAATGAAGATGTGCTCTGGTTACTGCTGGTGGAGACAAACCCATATATATAGAAATACTGGGGCAGGGAGAGAAAGAGGGATTTGCAAAATACTCACAGTTCCTTTTTTAGCAAATGGCCACCAGGGCTTTTTGGATTCTAATGAACAGAAACAAGGACATTGTTAGCTATAGAAATGATAAAGTAGGTATTTCATGGTAAATTTGACTTCATGGGGAGAGGGGGGTGGGAATAAAAAACAGGGCCATCTCTTCCATTGGCATCTGTATTCACCTGAGCTGTGCAGAGATGCTGAATGGTAAAGGAATTCTGCTGCACTGTCTGATATCAGCAGGTCTCCTGGGAACATCTCGAATCCAGGCAAGCTCACCACCACTGAGCTGTGCCTCCGTTCAGCTGAGTTGTATAGACTGCAAGGCAAACACAAACATTGTGTGCTGCTACTAATACTCAGAGGCACACCTAGGGTTCCTTGTGCTCTTGGCAAGGAGCCATATCAGCGCTCCCCTCCAAAAAACCCACTTTACTGTGGTGCAAGAAGGACAGGAAGCTTCTCCTGTGTTTCATCTCACCGCAACAGTGGTGTCATGCCACCCCTCACACATACGTCATACATCCCATAGTCTGATAGGTGCTTTTTGTGCTCCCCCTGGGCCTGCACCTCTGCTGGTTTCGCCAACCCTTACGTACGCCTTTGGTCCTCCTAAGAAATGATACTCAGGTTTGAGGAGAGTCAGTCATGGTCAAAAAAACCTGAAACTCATGAAGCTTTACTTTATCTTCCATTTAAAGACCCCCAGTATTGATAAACAACTGAATATTAAAACCACCAATTTATATTATAGAGAATTAAACTCAATGGAGCTGCTGAAGCAAACTGGAGAATTGTGTCGCCTGGGTGTGCCATCTCAACTTGTGTGTGTGTGTGAAGAAGCTGGTTGATTGAAAATGTCTCCATGCGAAAATAGTGCATGATCTTTAATGTTACAATCTCCAAGAAGTGGCTTTGGCAGTTGCTTTGCCATCACAGACTTAAAAAGTAAAATACTATGGCATGAAGAAAACAGCCTGGTTGGCATGGTAAGGCAATGGATGCTGTAGTGCTAACTTAAGAACGGTTTCCACACAGCAGCCATTTCATGTGCACCATCCCAAAGAGCTGTGAGATGACGGAATGAAGATTCATTATACCCTTTTAATAGAAATGACATTCAAATACATGACCATTAGGTAGGGAAGGGAGAGGATTTTGTTTGGCTCACATTTTTAAGTAGCGACCAAAGTTGCACAGCAGAACACAATTACCCTTCAGATTTTACAGTTCTACAAATTTTATGATACAGCTTAAAAATGTACCCATATGCACATTTAATTATTTATTACATTTACTTACTGCTTACTGCAAAAATGTCTAAGATTTAAGTAATATCTGAATATTAATTTTCATATAGATTTTTTTTTAAAGATAAAGACATTCACATAAGGTAGTCAATAATTTATACAAGTGAACCTGCTGTCCTTCCCTAAGATAGCCTTGTAGTGTTGGCATGGCATGTAGCTAGCAAGGTACATTGCACATATCACAGCTAAAGTCCAATTTTAAATGACATTTGTGACCTAAGAACATTCTGTTTGTGTTTGTGCAATTGTCAGTGGATTTTGTGATTTGGCTTTGCTAAGCACAGCAAGTCAAGTCAGGTCCAGAATTGACCTGAATCATGTCAGGCCACAGTGGGGCTATAGGGTGGCCTTGTGGCCTTGATAGTCCTGTTGTCAGTTTTGCAAACTAAGTCGTCCCCAAAATCTAATATGACAAGATTATTCTGCTGACTTTTCTTGCGAGTTGTGTTCCTTAGATTTACAGATGGATGAATGTTCATAAATTTGTAATGAAACTGAAATAAGCGTAAGGCCGCAAAAATAATATTGAACAAGAAGATGCTGTTTGGTTGACTTTCCATGAGACAGCTCTGATTTTTCTGAATTATTTTTGTTGTAATGGTGTATTAGCGTTGTAGATTTGTGAACGGCTAATAATGTTTCGGGTTTGGAAAAAGCAAATATGTGCTGTGGTCAGTCAACCTTAACGGCAAAGTGAAATCTCACACCCTCTGTTCTATGGTGTGTTCAGGTCACATAGAGAGTATCATAAATTCTAAAACTGTGGAACCTAAGTGACAGAGAATCATAGAAAGGATCCTGAGGATCATCTAGTCCAACCCCTGCAATGAAAGAATATGAAGCTGTCCCATACAGGGATCAAACCCACATCCTTGGCATTATCAGACCACACTCTAACCAACTGAGCTATCCCCTCCAAGATTTGCTAGAAACAATGCATTCTGTTGATTGCTGGATGGATCAGATTTGATTTGTGGCCCACAGGTAGTATTCATGTGGTCTTGATGTCAACCAGGCACGTGCCTCATACCCATTGATTTCAGTGTTCTGGGCTGTGGCCTTTATGTATTTAGAAAAGCTACAAAAATTAATAACAAATAACACAACAATAACACAACAATAAAAGAGATGTTTATGAGACTTCTCAATAAACAATAGCTGGGGCATGCCTGAGAGTCAATTTTTAGCCTATAAAGCAACTCTCATTAAGGTGTGCAAGTGGCAGAAAGTTACAGTGCCAGTCCCCTAAATTTATATAGAACAGATCTTACTAGCTACAGTAAATATGTCACTCTTTACTTTTAATGGCTCATTAAGAGTCAACAAAAGTATAAAAACGAACGAGGGAGCGTTTCTTTTTTGCCATTTTCTTTTAAAAGAAATACGTACCTGTTAGGTTTATGCAAATGTAATTCCTGAAAAAGAATAAAGCATTCTATGTTAGTCTTTATAAAAGGCACAAGAATGGCACTTTTAACCTTGCATGTTCTTGCTGAAGAAAGGAATTACAAAGTGAAATTTAATTCTTAATCATTTTAGTGAAACAATTGTTTCAGAACAGAATCAAAACTCACCTGTTCCCAACCCCTAAGCAAAAACCGAACCTGCATAATAGTGGTGATAAGTGCATCTCATTTTAGTTAGGACTGGAACTTTGGGGAAGGCGAGTTTAACCCTTCTCGTTCCCCTTCGATCCAAAAGAAAGTTTCCTCCTTTCCCTCCTCCTTAAGCTCCTATTTACTTTTGAAGAGAAACTCTCATTGCGGCTGCTACTGCATTTCTGAAAAATATATTCAATGATACAAATAAGGAATGGGCAACTAGATGTGTGCTGGTTTGGCTATAAAGCGAGGCAGGGGGAGCTTTGTTTTCAGACCAGACAGAATATGGCGGTGGGTCAGGCATGGACAGTGGTAGATTTTGGGCTCCCAAATTTCAGTGGCGCCCTATGTGATGCTAATATTCGGCACACACAACCCACCTCTCACTCTCCTTTCCACATCATTGCTGCAGCACTCCCTGTGGTGTTGTCGCCCGATGCAGCCAAACCGCTACCCTAAAACCACCTCTGACATGGGCATCACCTCCCCGCTCCACCTCCTTACTTGCACACAGTCTGCTCTTTGGAATAATTCCCCTGCTAACTTCAGGTATTGGAGGCAGTCTGGGGAGAAAAGGCTTCAGTGGAAAGCAGAGAAAAAAGGAAATAGGGCAGGAGACAGGTTTCATTACCATACCCCCTACTGAGTTTAGTTTAAAAAGTACAGTGGTACCTCGGGTTTAGTACTTAATTTGTTCTGGAGGTCCGATCTTAACCTGAAACTGTTCTTAACCTGAAGCACCACTTTAGCTAATGGGGCCTCCTGCTGCCACCATGCCGCTGGAGCATGATTTCTGTTCTCATCCTGAAGCAAAGTTCTTAACCCGAGGTACTATTTCTGGGTTAGCGGAGTCCGTAACCTGAAGCGTATGTAACCCGAGGTAAAAGCAAACAAAATATGCCTCACTTTATAGCCCCCTAATGTGCAGATGTTTATCTATTATGTGCATGTTTAATCCTGCTCTCAAAGAGAGGCATCACATGTAATCTGGCCTAGCTAAATATTGATTAGACTGTCACATTCTCCTTAAATCTAATGGCTGTAGTCAACCAAGTTTTACTCAAGGTCGGCACATTGGAATTAATGGACCTAATTTAGTCATGGCTATGAAATTTCTATGGGCCTGCTCTGAGCAAAAGTTAGTTGATTACAACCCTAAGAGCGGCAATGGCTTGATTTATAGTACCAGACTTTAGTTCCGTCTGAGCAATGAGCAAAACATACCAAACCAAGGAACGAGGAAATGCGTTACTTACCTGAAGACATTCCTGAGAATTCTGTTTCCCCTTAGTTAGGGAAGAAGGGCTGATCTCCCTCGTGTTCTGCAATGTGTTATCATCAACAAAATCATCTTTAGGATGTGGTGGAACTGATAGCGTGTCAGCCAATGTGGAGTTTTCTTTCAGTGTCAGTGAATCGGTGTGCATGCCAGAGTTGGAGGTCAAAGAGCATTGCTGAGAATGCAGAGTACACCTCTGATAAGCAAGAAGAGTTGATTCAGTTTGTGGCACCTGGTTGTGCCCCCTTCCACTCTCAGTGCTGTTTTGTAGCGAGAAGACCTGAGAGAGTGATGGGGTACTGTTTCTTAGCCTCCTAAGAGTCGGAGAAGTAGAAATCCTTCCTGGAGCATGCCTGTTAAATTGGTAAGGTGTGAAGTCACCATCTCCATCCTCCACAGGTGGAACTTGGAGTAGATTTGGGCTGTCACTAAAGGCCCTCCTCTTGGTGATATTAGTAGGGTACAATTTGATCTCAGGGGTGGATGGGGCTGGGGTTTCGCAGGATGAAAAGACAATATTTCCCAAGTCACTCTTTCCTGCCAAATCCAAATTGTCTTCTTGTGGTTCGGTCACCTCAAGAATATGACATTGATCCTCCAAGTAGACTGCTTCATCCACTTCAAAAGATTTGCACTCCATTTTTTTAGGAATCCTTTAATCACAGCAGAAAGATCTACAGCCATTAGAACAGAGATGAAAGGAAGGATTTCATTCTCAAAGCCAACATTTTATATTTAAAAACACCCTTGTGCTGCTACAATCCAAGGAACCCCCTTTGACAACGAAAGACTTGGATACCAACACCCTTTCCGATTGTGGTTCACTGGAGGGAGGGTGTTTTTGATGCCAGGTTTTAGGGGGCAGCATAAGAGATTGGAATGGGTTCTGCTGTCAGAAGGAGAGGCTCTAAAAGCTTTCCACGAAGAAGCAGAAATCAACCAAGGCACTTTGTTCTGTGGCCGTGGATTCAATTATAAATTTATACTGGCCAATCCCTGACTTTGATGCTTAATCAGCACAGACCTGTTCATGTTGGTGAAATGTTAGGGGCAATCGGATGCACCACTGGACAGCATGGGGCTTATTTACGAGAGTAAATCAGGCTAAAGTTGTGCTGCCCATCATTTTAAAGTAGCTTGATTTCGCAGGATTTTGAATGGTTATAACACAAAACTGAAAAGCACCCAAGGGGAGTTAATTAGCAGTATTCTATAAACAGAAGCATGATACCATAACACATGAATCTGATAACGCTCCAGCTCAGTACTTACTGTTTCAACAGCAGGTGCGCAGGGATCACTGACACAGCCAGCTTCCTTGGGGGTAAACATGATCCTGCATGGAGAAAATGTGTAACAGGGAAGTTGTTTAACACAATGGCTAAAGCCACGGGTAGTTTTTCTGCCTTTTTAGACTGAAGGGTAGAAATTCCTCTTTTCACTTTCCCAGCCTCCTTTCTGAATGCAGGAATAGGGAACTTGTTTTTCCTCTTTGTATGTTTCCAAGGGATTTCTTTATCTCAACAGTGCAAAGGGAAGTGGTAGCAAGCGAGTTTACAGAAGGTAACATGATCTGCCGCAACGCATAACTGATTTTCTTTGCTCTTTGGGCATGTTTGTTGAATTCTCCTTTTCTTCCCAATTTTTAATTCCACCCCCCACCCCCAGCTTCTGAGTTCAACATTTTGACACATTCGCTTCACTCAGGGCAGAACAATGAATGAAAGAGGATCAAGAAACATGTCAACAGGGGAGATTTGTCAGCCACAGTGCCTGTCCTTTGTGAATAAGCGTACAATTAGAACAGCTCGACCTTTCCTTTGTGATGTTCCCTTTGCTGTCCCTTCACACAAAGAACCTTCCTGTGCCCTTAATAATGAAGCCCTTTTAAAAATCCCCCCTTAAACTTCTTATCAAAATCTCCCTTCAATATCATGTGAATGCACAAAATATTCCCGCCCCTGCTGATAATAGCATAGATGACTCATGTTGACATAATACTGGTAGAATGTTTGGTGGTTGTGACAATACTATATTTTTTAGCTAGATCACCTAGGCCATTATGGTAGCTGTTATATATACACTACTAGATATGACATAGTGTAGCAATGTTTTTCAACCTTCCACTCACAAATGCTTTGGGGGATCTCCCGCTCCCAATCTCTCCCTCTTTCTAGCATCTACGTGTATGGTGGTAGTGCTGCTGTTGTGACCTACCAGAGATCAGTTCATGAGCCCATAGAGGTTCGTGACTCACCAGTTGAAGACCAATTCTGTGGTGGCAATGAGGATTACCAGGGAGCCGGGACATCCCTGTGTTTTCAAATGTCACCTCAGCTTCGATTTATGTGGCCCAGTGAAACCTGAACAACTGCAAAATGTAACATGGCAAAACAGCACCAAACAAAATATGGACAAAATAGGGCTGGTGATTTACCAGAGATAGGTATAAAAAAATGGGGATTGTCCCCAATAAAATGGTCGGTATGCTACAACTCCTTATGCCAACAAAAAAGGGGGAAGCTCTAAACAACTGCAACAAGGAGCAAAAAGCACAGGGTAGGAAAAACAGAGCAGGTTTTTTTTGTCCAATGCATTTTCAACTACTTTGGTCCTTCATTAGTGAAATCTGCAATTAATAAAAATATTTATAGTTGGCAAACTGAATAACTTTTCATGAACAACATGTCAAAATCATGACAGGAAGAACCATTCACAAAACAATCTAACAACTTGTCAAATGAAAATGTAAATATTTAAAAATGACAGTCCCTATATATTAATGGTATCGTGAAAATAGGATACATACATTTAATTCTGGATCTTCTACCTCTACTCTTAAGACGCAGCCACTTGCAATCAGGAATTTGACTTGGGTGTAGTATGGTACATGGTGTAACACCTCAGCCTAGTTAAATTTATGAAGGCGGCCTGCCCACTGCAGAACCACCTGGCTTGTTTGCTTAGTGACTGGCTTCTATAAATACTGTATAAATGTTATACCTACTTCAGATGTGTCTGGACTGGCCCTGAGCTTTAAAACATCCTTGGCAGGTACCTGGAGCAGAAAGGTTTGATTGTTGTTGACATTTCCAGTAAAACACCAAGTATAAATTGTGGGGTTTAATATATATATATATATATTTTAATAATAGATGTTGGAGTCCCTCTGAACTTTCCCTAAAATGAATTTTATATAATTCTATATCAGAATATAAAATATAGAAATAAAATATATACAAATTACTAACTCTCAGTGAACTCAGGGAACTTGTGGAGGAACTGATCTGGTGCCCCTGTCACGGGGGCACAACATCCTGTTTTACCCACTGAGGTGAACAGGAACTTGCCATTCTGCCACCACACAGCCCCACCACTGAAACCCTCCTTTACGTGGGTTGCATTGCAGTGCTGGCAAAGCAGTGACGATGGTGGGTTCCGGCGAGATCTTGCTGAAATCCCACGAGATCTTGTGAGGTTTTAGTGAAATCTCACGAGACCTTGCTAGAAGCTTGTGCTGATGCTGGTATTGCTTCTCTGGAGGTGGTGGCAGGTGGCGGCGGGGTGGGGCACCCACAGGGTGTGCGCTGTCTCTTGGGCTTCTGCCACCTGAGGCAGCTTGGTCACACTGCCTCATGGGTCTGTTGGCCCTGCCCTGCTGGTACACTTGCACTGCACCAACCACTCTCCCACCTCACCCCCGTCTTTCAGAGCAAGCAACACTGACCCACCTGCTGGGAAGCTAGTGTATTAGCTACACCCCGAATACAGGGTTTATTCTTTACTATCTTAAAATACATACATTTTACACTTGTGGAGGTTGGCAGGAAGCTATTTTTCTTTTTAATGTGACCGGTAATTCAGCTCTCCCCTGCAACAACAACAACAACAACAACATGTTGAGAAGCTGTGTTATCCGTGTTTTGCTGCCAAGCATAACATTACAAGGGACGCGGGTGGCGCTGTGGGTAAAACCTCAGCGCCTAGGGCTTGCCGATCGAAAGGTCGGTGGTTCGAATCCCCGTGGCGGGGTGCGCTCCCATCGTTTGGTCCCAGCGCCTGCCAACCTAGCAGTTCGAAAGCACCCCCGGGTGCAAGTAGATAAATAGGGACGGCTTACCAGCGGGAAGGTAAACGGCGTTCCATGTGCTGCGCTGGCTCGCCAGATGCAGCTTGTCACGCTGGCCACGTGACCTGGAAGTGTCTCCGGACAGCGCTGCCCCCCGGCCTCTTAAGTGAGATGGGCGCACAACCCTAGAGTCTGTCAAGACTGGCCTGTACGGGCAGGGGTACCTTTACCTTTTATAACATTACAAAGCTGGTGGGTTGTCAAAACAGAGTCTTCCAGCCCAACGTATTCCACAGGGTTGAGTTCAGTTAGATGCTAAGTAATTGTACCACAGCGTTGTTTAAAAATCCACAGTATGTTTGAAAACCAGAACAAATTGGTCCTGTATCTGGTGATCCCCTTGGCTGCCCCCCATGCCACACCCGGGGGTCAGACGCCACCAGTGAAGATGTCTCTGCCCACACTTCCTTTGTTAGTAATACTCTATTGCATTTTGAAAATTAGTGTAAGGAAGGTTGCCTCTAAACTAATCTGTGGTGTATTTTGTCAACTGGAGACGGCTATTGTTCTGTGCGTAATCTTATTACGATACTTAATTGTTACTCTTCTTTGTTACTCTTCACCACTCTTTCATGGCGGTAGAAAGAAAAAAAGACAGCTGTTGCTTTCATCCTAGGATTTAACTTCATCAAATGTTTTTTAAAAAACAAATTGCATGTATTTCTGCGATTAGAGGATTCCCAATCCATTTAGAAAATGAGTCATAGTTTGCATTAGGTGTTATAATAAAACATGTAGTTCTCTGTGTGTCTAACCACCATGGGGAATGATAGTTCTCTTGCAACTGTGGAGATTACCGTGCATCCTACCATTTTCCCAAGAGCTGGATATGGAGTCTTGGCTTTCCTGATGTTTATTAATGCTTTATTTTCAATATTTAATAATTTTTTGGTTATTGCTGTAACGCTGAAGAATCCTCAGCTCCGTAACCCCATCAACATATTCATTCTTAACGTCTCCTTTTCAGATCTTATGATGTCCCTCTGTGGAACCACCATTGTTATAGCTACAAACTACCGTGGATATTTCTTCCTGGGAAAGAGGTTCTGCACTTTCCAGGGATTTGCTGTCAATTATTTTGGTAAGCAAAATAGCTAGATATTGTTGTTGCTGCTGCTGCTTATTGCTATTATAATTAAAATACATTTATATCCTGCCTTGCATGGAAAAACCCCTTAAGGGGGTTTGCACGGATAAATAACAGTACAATTTACAGTTAAAATACCTTTAAACAGACAAGTCAACAACAATATCAAAACTACAAAACTAGAATAAACAGCCAAACATTTAGTTCCCTCTTGAATGACAACTGATGTGAGATCTTTGGGTTTTATTATGCTAAATGAAAGAAGGTCACGAAAGAAGGTGCTTTGTAGTTAAAAAAATTATAAAGGTAAGTTTTAAATAAAATTCTGGAACATCCTGGCCCAATCCTAGCTTGGAATTCAAATGACTAATTTTGTTGTTATTTCTAAACCACTGCTCAAAGTGTGTATAAGCACACAGACCTTTTTCAGAGTAAGTCCCACTGAAATAAGTATGACAGACATTTGAGTAAACATAGATAGGATTGGGTAGCACAGCCGAAATTTTAAGCTCACTTATTGTGCTATCCTATACTATATTGTGCTATCCTATACTTTTCTACTCGGAAGTATGTCTCATTGACTCCCATGGGATTTACTCCCGGATATGTGTGCATAGGGTTGCAAAAGTACATCCCATTGATTTCGCATTTTTTTGGAATTTCCTATGAAATATGAGTAACAGTATTGAAATGTGGAATATAGTGGTTTGATGATTCCTAGCATTTTTTTGCCTTTCTTTATCTTTATTATCTTCCAGGAATTGTTTCTCTTTGGTCCCTGACCATTTTAGCTTACGAAAGATACAATGTGGTCTGCCAGCCTCTGGGAACTCTCCAGATGAGCAAGAAGAGAGGTTACCAGCTCCTTGGTTTCATCTGGGTTTTCTGTCTCTTCTGGGCTGTGGTCCCACTCTTTGGCTGGAGTTCTTATGGACCCGAAGGAGTCCAGACATCATGCTCCATTGGCTGGGAAGATAGATCTTGGAACAACTATAGCTTTCTGATTGTATACTTCTTGTCCTGCTTCTTTATCCCTGTCCTGATCATTGGGTTTTCATATGGCAATGTCATTAGGTCACTGCGTGGGGTAAGTAGTCAACTGTTTCCTCCACCCCATTCCACCTCTGTCCCCGTTTGCTGACCAATGCCACCTCCATACTTTTCTGTCACCAAGCCAATTTGTTCTTGGTGTTAATGCATGCACAAGTTTGCAGCCTAAATGAAAGCCCATAGGATTCCTGGCTCTTTTCATATTTCTATCAGGTCAATGTCAGTGTCATCATGTAAAACAATGCAGACTTTAAAAAACTTGCATACAGCTATATAAGCAATGGCCAGATTTTTTAAATACCAGAAAATTCCTTTTATGTTTGAGTTCCCATCTGAAGGCACTATAGAGTGACTTAACCAAAGCAGTTTAGGCAATTATGGCCACATTATCCTTGCATTTGATGTTAAAAATCAAAATCATGTGCATGCACATATACAACTCAAAAGTATAACTCTTTTTTTAAAAAGATACACAAGTCTGGGGCTGCAAAATGGTGCCCTGTCTAGAAACTGTCACTCAAAGCAAGTGTTAAATGATGTGAAGATCACGTCCTTTTATACTAAAGCCAATTCTGAAGCCTAGTAGCTTAGTATGTGCTGCTGGTGTTTATTTCAAACTTTTCTGCTTTCTAGGGTTCCACCAAGTAATTTATAGCACAGAATCAAAATAACAGCAGCATTTAAAAGCTCAATGATGAAATCGTAATAAGAACAAAACACAAAAAATTCAAGGACATACATGTAGGTTAACAGAAGAGAAGCCCAGAGTGCAGTAAGAGCAATGGTGATTTGGAAGATATTAGCTTTCATTCATGCACCTTGTAGATGTACAACATGCAGGCTTTAATGTAGACATAGGATTTGCATGAGTCCAAACATAGCTGAATAAATGCCTCTATTGAATGGCTAATGCTGTTGATTTGATTTAACAGCTAAATAAGAAAGTTGAAGAAATGGGAGGAAAAGGTAATCCGGAAGAAGAGTTTCGAGCCGTAATTATGGTGCTTGTGATGGTGGTGGCTTTTTTGATCTGCTGGCTGCCGTACACAGTCTTTGCTCTTACTGTTGTTATTGACCCAGCCCTGAATATTTCCCCTCTGGCTGCAACCATCCCAACATATCTCTCCAAAACAAGCCCAGTATACAACCCAATCATCTACATTTTCTTGAACAAACAGGTATTGCACTGTCTTTTGTATATTTTGTGGGCTAGTTACTTTTATAGTGAATTTCATTTTGTAGATTCAATTGCAGGCTTCCAACTTCAAATCTACTAATCATTGTAGAACCTTTGTTTGGGCAACCCTATTCTCCCCTACCTGTCCCTCGACAGGACTTTTGAAATTATTTATCTAGGCGAGACCTTATATACATGTACACAAGCATACTGACTGGGCAAAAGGCACTTTGTACACTTTCACATGCAGAATCCTCTTTTGGGTCTGCTCACGCATCAGGATTTCTGAATCCAGTAGCAGGACTCATGTGTGTGTGTTGTTTCCCCCACGGCTGGACCATTTCCCCAGATGGTTGGCATTGCCACTGCTGGGTTGACTCTGGGGTGACTCTAGTGAAGTCATTGCATGAGCAGAGTGACTTCCGCTCACGCAATAGAACTTCTCCTTCTCCTCCCTCCTGCATTCCCTGCTCTGGGGTGGGGGAACCCCCAAGGTAGATTTGGGAAGGTTATGGGGGGTACACGAGTTGAGCAGAAAGAGAAGTTCCATTGCATGAGGGGAAGTTGTTTGAACCCCACCCAGAGTCAAACAATTAACCCTGGTCAGCCCAAATAGAAAGGGCCTTTCAATAATTCTGAAAGAAGCCCATATGCATTGTACTGTGGTGAACAAAAAATGGATAGGAAGACATTGCTGAAAGACCACAGGATGACATGTACACTGTTCCCAGTTAGCGGAATATAATCTAATTTAGGGTTCTACCCAAAAGGAATGCTATCTCACTGTGACAGCACAAAAGCACAAGCATATTGATTTTCCTCTGTTTTCTTTTTGCAGTTTCGTGAGTGTGCAGTTGAATTTATAACCTGTGGCCAAGTTCTTCTGGCAAAACCAGATGAAGAGATTTCGACATCCGCAGCTCCAGCTGAATCCAAAACTCCTTGTAAGATCAACCAAGTGACTCCAGTCTGATGTAGTTCTGTTGGCTGCATTTTACAACATTTTGTGCACTTTTTCTCCAGGAAACATAATGAAGCTCCTCTTCAGTGTCTTGTTAGTAAATGATCCATGCCAGAAGATAATAAATGTCCATAGGGCTCCTTATGATGAATGGCTTCACACAGTTTTCACTTGCTAATGTCAGAAAAGTCTTGCTTACACCAAATATTCTCTGAATATATATATATATAACAACAATGAGTTTACTTGCAACACATGAGAAAAGGGCTGGGTATCTAAATTGTGAACAATGAACTTTTCCTCCATTGTTGATTAAATGATTATGCAAAGGAACTATCCTTGCCTACGAACCTTTCATCCAAAGTTTTCTGCCACTCAGTTTTGTTCTCCTGTTCCAAGTGTGCTCTCCCCCTCCATCCAGCCACCTTTACTGTCAGGTTCAGGAAGCAGAAAGCATGTTATAGTAGCTAGGCAATGTGAAGGTATGCAGGGCAACCAACCGCTATTGTCTAGCACCCAGAAGGCAGCTGGAAACCAACAGCTGACAACTCCTAAGTGAGCTGGCAACTGGAGCAAATGTCCCATTCATCTTGTGCACTTGTGGCAGGCATATTGTAGACAACTGGAGAACGGAAACCTGAATAAATGCCCCAGTGATTGTGGTTTGCTTTCTGTCATTGCCCGTTTGTGCTGCTTTTTAAAAATATGGTCATGTTTTTTTCCTGTAGTATTCCATGATGTTTGAAGGAAAGCAACAGATGGGAGGAGAGTCAAACCTATAAAAGTGATGGTCTTCACGGCATTATCTCGTGCAGACTAGCCTTGTGCCAAGTTTGATACCGGAAGGTTGGTCTCGATACACATTATTACTAAATTATGAAACCATCAGCTATGAAACATGCAATATTTGGCACCAAATGGCACCTACAAGAAAATGTTGCAGCATGGTATGTTCTGCTCACTTCATGAAACTCTCCACCTCTTTCCTGTTCCTGCCCCCCAAGCAGCTGGTTATCACTCCAGAGCAACTGAGCATGCCAAGACCAACCCCTGGGCAATTGTTTTGCATCGCTCCCATTAAGGATTCCCTCCCCCCCCAAAAGGAAGTTTTGATGCTTCTGCAACCCTCTTTAAACCATGCATGGATGTGTAGTTAAATCAAGAGCTTCCATCTGGCAATTTAATATTCGGGTCTGATTCCTGGCCCAAAAGTCAGAGCAACTTGAAAGGTTTGGTCAGCTTTCAGAAAAATGCAACCCCTTGCGCATACTATCTGTATCAGTCCTTCTTTGGAGCAGAAGAGGTGAATGACTGTATGCTATTAAAAGCTGTAACCAGAGCTTCCTTTTCTACATTTACATTTTATAAAAAATATACTGATGTTCTTTACTCTTCTGCGATTTCTGCAAGTTGGAACAGGACACTGAAAGGTAAATTGAACTGGGCTGATCTGGCATAAAGATATATCCGGGGAAAGAGCTTAAATTTAGAGAGTGTTCCCAATATCTCTAATCTGTTGCTTTCACATTATTTTGTATCCGTCCACAGGGATACTTGATAGGAAAGCTTCTCTGCCCAGTGAGCTTGTATAATTGGTTTGCTTATGCAAGTAGGATGTGATCCCTGATTAACTAAGTTAAACATCAGCTGTGGAGTCTGATAATCTGTTCTTTAATGCAGCCAACAAAGATGTTATAAAAAATGTTCCTGCAACTGGTTGAAGCTCAGTGTATGAACAGAACCAGGCAGCAACATTTTATAAAAAAACAATTAACTGCAGAGTATTGGATCCAAAACCTACTGTGTAAGAGGAAGGAACACACAGAATATATGTTGACAGTTGCCTCTCTCTGCTTGCCCAAAATGGGCTCCAGATGATGAGGAGATTCTCCACAGCAACTTTTCGTGTGGCACCAGGGACAAGAGATTGGAGCAGAGAAATAGCTGATACCAACCCACTCTCACATGTACAGAAGAGCCTTCCATTCATGTGGCAGGAGCTTTGCATTCACAAACGCGATTTTATTTTATGTGAAACAGCTTTGGGCCCTAGCCATCGTATTCCATGCATACATCTGACATTAAATTCACCTGACATTAAAATGGCACAAGTCTGAGCCCAGCATTAGATTATATTCTTGGCTCTGATTACTGAGAAATGCAGGAAGCATGAAGCCGGGCTCGGGGGGGGGGGGCGGAGGGGTGACGATTAGGCAACTGGATGATAGGCAAAAACAAAACGAATCTCCCAGGAAGGTTCTGGAAAAAGCAAAGGCCTAGCCAGCTCTCCAAAATCTTCAGCTGAGAGTGCGCAGATGTCATAAATGTCAGTGACATCAGGAGACCTGAATTTTAAACGTTTTCTTTACTTATTGTAGCTGTTGTTATTTCGTCTGTTAATAAAAATTCTAAGAGCACAGTTGACATAATAAGAAAATGGATAAGAAAACAAACCGTAAACAAACCCGAATGATTGTAAAAAAACACAAGACCTAAATGGCGTGAAGATCTTAAATGCCAGATAAAATTGATGGGGAAATTATGACTAAAGGACCAGAAAAAATAGAGGGGTCTTTGACTAGTGCTTGTTTTGTCCGCATCCTCTTCCTCAGAATCTCTGTTGCCTTTGTAGAATTCAACAGGGAAGAGGATAGGGACAAAACAAGATTAGTTGGCTGTACCTGTCATTGGTTCTGGCACCACCTGCTGTTGGTCTCTTGACTTTCTGACATACCTAATGAGCACCAGCCATCACAGCTGAATACCAGATTGGATCTGAACTGTTGCAGACACGAACTGAGAAGCAAAGAAAATGGTTCAGCAGCCTTATCTGAGCTGAAGTAAAGAGTATCCGTATTGCATGCTTATGTCCTTGTTTGTTGTTTGTTGTTGGTAGGTGGTGGTCTGACTCACCACAGACCCAGAAGCAGTCTTCCTGCACAGATAAGCATACCTGATTTTTTTAAAGCATCATCCAGTTTGGCATGCTAGCAAATCAAAAAAAAATGCTGAATTACCAAATTATTTAAGTGGCAATGGGAGAAAGCGGAAATTCAAAAACACTGCCATCATTCAAAACATTGTTGCTCTTCAGCATCCCCCTGCCCTTTACAGCTGAGAGTTTTCAACTTAAACAGAAATCTGGGAGAAGATTTGTATTTCCTAATCTGGGAACGGCATTGCTTTTTAAAGCAAAATGTCAAAGATCATGTGCAACAGGGTTTCAAATATGAAGCTTCATGAAGATTTCCAATCCTTCCACCTTGACAAAAAAACGGTGAGTGCTATCAGACAGAGCAGAACAAGTTTACAGTGGTACCTCGGGTTACATATGCTTCAAGTTACATACGCTTCAGGTTACAGACTCCGCTAACCCAGAAATAGTACCTCGGGTTAAGAACTTTGCTTCAGGATGAGAACAGAAATCAGGCTCTGGTGGCATGGCAGCAGCAGGAGGCCCCATTAGCTAAAGTGGTGCTTCAGTATAGAACAGTTTCAGGTTAAGAATGGACCTCCGGAACGAATTAAGTACTTAACCCGAGGCACCACTGTATCTAGAAAATAAATGGTAGGATTTTGGTTACTTGGAGTATTGAAGGGAAGATTGCAGGCTGGTGGAAAAGGATAGGCCAAGCTTCCTTTCCAACCCAGGTCCTCACCTGGGATAGAGCTATTAACATGACAAATCGTGTCCTCCCTAAAAGAGGGTACGTGTTAGATGAGACCTGGAGACCGAACTCCTGTATTGTGGGTGGGTGAGATTGAACAGCCACAACACCCAATTGGTAGGTCCCTTGATGTTGGGTTCAATCTGGCCAATGGGGCGCAGTCCAAATGGATCGAGGGACCTATATATACCCATGCATGTGCCGAGAGCTTCCTCTTTTGGCTCATGCATTCGGAACACCCGCCCACCTCTCCCTACCTTTAGGGCTTGTGCACTTGACCTTGCTATGCTGTTGTGTGTCCTCTGTTGTTGGGACAGGGGTACGGCAGGAATTTTCCCCACTTGGCTGATTGGCTGCTGCCATTTGGGTTTTGCCTGCCACGTAGCAAATCGTCACAGCTTGTAAGGTTGCGGATAGGCACTGGTTTAGGTGATAGGGATGGGAGAATGGTCTCGCCATCCCTATGTGGCGGGTATTCCATTAAAGGAATCCAGGGACTCAACTGGTTTGGTCAAACCCTGAGAGGCGGTTGTGCCCGTGCCTGAGTCTAGGGGGGCATCTGGGTGGTGAACATAGTCTGTTCCCAGCTATTCGCCTTCCCAGGGGTTCACCCTTGGCTGACCTATGCTGGTGCCCTGGGTCAACGCTGTCTGCAAGGGTGCAGGGAGCTAGTTGAACCAGAGCATATGCATCCACTCACCTTCTGTAATCAATAAAGTTGTGGCCTAAATTCTGCCAAAAACCAAAACTAAAATTTGAGTCAAGTGTGACTCGGCAGACAGAGGTTGTGTCAGGTGTGCGTGCAGGAGCCAGGCCCTGTGACCAATAGGACTCTGCAGGACTGGGGCCTTCCTAAGTTTGCTCTGAAGAGGCAAGGCATGGCCGCACAGGTGAGGCCGATTGGTAACTCGCTGCACCTGGTGGCAAGAGCCAGGAAGGGATAGAAGGTCAGCATTTCCCTTTGGCTCTTTGCTACACCAACACGTTCCCTTCCTTGCTGTGTTTGACTCCTTGCTTCTTGATCCTCGGACCCCTGACTTCATGACTCCTTGCTTCCTGACTCTCAGACCCTTCCCGGCTCTCTGACCCTCGGGCTCTTGGCTTCCTGACACCTGGCTTCTGGACCCCCGTTCCTACTCCCACCCTACCATCTTGCCCCCGGTCCTGATATCCCCTGCTGGGACTTCGATCGCCTGTAAACCAGACCGGTGACAGGTTGCCATGGTGATGGGGTGTGGGTTCCAAGGAAAAGAGGGAGTAAGGTGTGCTGGGAAGAAAGGGGGAAAAGAAAGACTGGGATCCATCATAGGCAGGTTGTCTGAAGGCTGTCTGGGAAAGATGCCTTTGACTCCAGGGCTGCATCGCTGTGGGGGACAAGCCCCTCTTGAAATGACTATGCTGTAAGATCTGGACTCCCTCCATGCAGGCTGAAGGTGCAAACAGGTAAATAAACCACATTACTTAAAGCCGTGTCTCAGTTCCCCAAAGGAACTGAGCACCACACACACACCAGAATCTTGCTACCACTCGGCAGAGTGGGGGTGCCACCCAACTTTTGTTACAATATTTATAAATCAATAAATAGGGTACAATTCAGCCAATTTTAAGTCCCATCGAATTGAATAAAAAAACCTACACTGTTAACAGATGGATCTGAAGTGTCATTAATAAAGGCTGCAAAAATTCCCATTTTTAATAACATCTTAAAGGATACAGGTAAACAAAGATTGATAAAGATATTCCTTCACTTCATCCCCCCCCCCACAGTGTGTGTGTGTGTGTGTGTGTGTGTGTGTGTGTGTGTATATATATATATATATATATACCAATGCACAAACACAATACTGAAATGTATGCCATCATCCATCCCAAGCAGCAGATGGCACATAGGACTGCAAAGGCTCCTTTCTGAGAGGTGATATTTAAAATTGGCAAGCATATGGATCAGCTTCATAGCAACAAAAGAGTGTTACAAGAACATTAGCAGTGTGCCTCCATGCATGAAACCTGACATTTCTTGTGTTTGCAAATATAAGTGGGTTTTGCTTTGACACT